ATAAGATTATAGTGGAGCTTTTGGAAAAATTTTCATTGCAGTCAAGGGCATTAAAAATCCTCAAGTGTAGTTCTTCCAGTTTTTGTGCTCTCTCAAGACACGTTTGGGCTTAGGGCTTTCTGTTTGCTCAGCCTGCTAGTTAAGACGTTGAAGGGGACTGCGTTCGAAGCTACTCCTTGGAAAATGTACACAACAACGTTTCTAGACATCTGGGGAGGGTTGATTGTTTACTCCTGTAGCAACCACGGTACAGTTTCAAAGTGAGATTCAGTGAAATATCTCTTCAAAGATGAGCTTCTCAGAGAAGTTTTATTGACTATTTAGTTAATTAAAGATTATTCAAATAATTGTTAATTAATTAATGATTAGGTATATTGTTGAATGTATTTTGCTTTTTTATCCTACTTTTTATAGTAATATTCTCGAAACATTCCAGGGAAAAGGCGCTCTGGAAACATATTGGTTGCTAACTCCCGAAGAACAAGAGAATGGGCTCATTGAGTGAGTCGTTCTAGCGGGATAGCACGACATATCTACTACTTATTTATAATCTAAACTAATTTTGTTGGCTTGCTGACGTTATTAATTGGATTAATTGGTACAATTTTTTTTTGTAAGATGCTAGAATGAATAACGATTGATCGAAAGTAGTAGAGAAATAAAATGTTGTTTGTTTGTGTTATACCAATCGGATCCCTCGCTGATGCCGGGCTCCCCCATGTGAAGTTGGAATTTTAAATTGAACTGAATCTCTTTCGAATTTGGACGTTATGGCCTGAGAGAGCAGGAGCTATTTAAAGATTTCTGATCAAACTCACTGCAACACACCCTGTCCGATATGAACTGCACAAGTATTGCCTTCGTATTTTTACTCCGATTGCGACACTTCACACACATTCCGTTTTCCCCTACATTAGCCTCTCCCTGCCCCTTGAATGGCATTTGGCGTGGCCATTTCTCCTATGGATTTTCGGCGTTTCAGCCCATAATAGGTGTTTTTCACCCCCAATTCCCCACGTGACTATGGCAGGACTGTAGCCACGTGGGCGTAGCCCAGTTCTGCCATTTACCAGCATCCCCATCTTGCCGCCTGTCTTAAATCTTGAAGTATTTGGCTTTCCCGTCTGAGGGACGCGCCCCCGCATTGGACTTCCATTTAGAATCGTAGAGGCGTATTGGATGCGTGTGTGCCCATACAAGGACTTGCGGTACAAGCCAGTGCTTTGACCCTCCCAGACTGAGGGAAGTCTTCGTAGGAGTACAGAAGGGAGGATGGGAACTTTGATGGTAGGTGGCGGGACCGACCCTCATGGCGCGGTCCTGCCACCCACCATCAAAGTT